AATAGCTGGGCTGAACTCCTCCAACCCAAGTCCTAGCACCACATCCCATGCAGGCCACAGGAGATGCTGAGCTGCCAGCTTGGAAGGCAGGCTGGATATGGCAGAATCAAACCAAACCCGAAGGGCTGAAAGAGTTTCAGCTGCTTCCTAGCCTCCGCCCACCCTACCCCACTACCACGTACATGCCCCTCTGCACTTTCTGGTTTCAAGTGAGGCAGGCAGCAGAGCCGCCAGAAGAAAGGCTTCTCTCATGGCCATTCTAATTCAGCCAAAACAGAACACGAGATCTTTGCACAAATACACTGGCCGAAGATGTTTGGGTAACCCAGAAGATGTCTGAACCTGTCCCTAGTCACGACTAACATCAGGAAAACGGGAACACCCTCAAAACCCCAGTAGGGTCCCTACAGACCCCCCTGCTGTGCATTCTCCAATTGGATACAGTAGCCAGCATGTTATCAGTCATCGCACAGGCATATTCCCACACCCATAGGCACAACATCAAGATCGTGTCTTTTGTGTAGCTAAAACGCTCATCCGGCAGAGAAGTAGTAACCAATCTTCTCCTGTGCACTGCTCATTTCCTTTGGCTCCCCTTTTAATAGGAAATTAGTCAAACAGCACTCAGCATTACATATACCCAATACCCTGTATACAGCTTCAATATGTCCATCCTCAGGTGCCTACCCTCGGTAGCTGGTGTGTGCACATGCTCTCTCAGTAAGCTGTACCATGCTCTCTCCATAAGCTGCGCAGATAGCCGGCTCAGCAAACCCGACAGCACTGCCCAGAAAGACCACATGCTGGGTTCCGCGGCAAAGGCGCTCAGCCAGGTTTATTGTCAACAGATCATGGTCCTTGTGCCCCCCCAGGAGCCACAGGGACACTAACACAGGTATGCCCATCACAATGGGCTCAGCTCACTCAGCAATGGCACTTTTGGTTGGACAAAGGTGCCCCTCCTAGGATTTCTCTTGTATACATTGATAGGAACAGGTATCACACCCCAATGGCCCAAGGGGTCCCCTGGGGAAGGCAGATCAGCATTGTATATGGTTAACGCTATTGCAAGCATCGCAGGGCATTTTGGGAAGGGTCAAAGGTGTGAGTGAGTGTGGAACAAAAGATTCCTTCACAGGTCACGTGAGGCCAGAGGGGGAAGGAGGAAAAGAGCAAAGAACAGGTTAACTCTGCGCTCCTGCTAGGCCCAAAAATAAGATGCTGACTCCAGCCCGCTCAAGGCCACAACACACATCTGACTCTCGGCTGCCTGCCAAGAAAGAGGGGGGCCCGGAATTCACCGATCAGCCATAAGGAAGGAAGATGCAGCTGAGCAGACCTGCAAAGGCAGCCCATAACAAGCGAGACAAGTGAAGGCCAGCACGGAGGAAAACAACGAGGTCAACAAAGTCTAGCCGGTGTGTTTTGGGAAAGCCGAGGAGACCACAGAGAGCTGGTTTGGACTGGTACAAAAAACACCAGGAACAGAGGTCACGAAATAAAACACCCGCAAAGGCACCCTGGACTTAAAAACCCTCCTAAGAGCTGGAGCAATTCGGAGATCGCAGCGGACCCCGGACAACCTGGGCCCAGGACAGAACTCCCATCCACCCTTCCCCCTCTTCTTCTTATGTTACACCCAGGCTTGGCCAGCCTAGGGTAGAGCGTGTGTGAGTATGAAAGTAGGTTAGGGCTTGGGGCATTAATGCTTCCTTCCTTCCTCTGAGTGACATGGGGAGCACCCCTCACTCTCCGCTGTTATTATTTTATGAATAAAGCTTTAAACTTAGACCCTTGGTGTGTTTCGTCATCTCCTCCCCTAAAGATCCTATGGCTTCAGCCTAATCACCTAACGCCTCAGGCAGACTGGTAACAGAAATCTGCCACACAGGTTACGTGTCACACTCCTGACATGGTCAGTTACCGACCCTACACCTTGGACCAGCTGGTTCGAACAAAACATCCCCCTCCATCATCCTCCCATCCTTGTCTTACTCAGGGTCAGTGTGATCCTGTACCATCACCTAGGACAGGGGTTATGCCATAACTCCACGTTGGGGTAGACCTGTGCCAGCCTTCCGGAATGGGATTACATGAATACCCAGCGCCTAGTACTTCTTAGAGTGCCTGTGTTTTAGCAATGCCACCCAGGCTTTTGCCAAGTTCATGTACCAGGCAGTGAACATGTAAGTAGGCGTTTGCTTTATGACAGGGCCTGACCTTTTCTAACTTTGATTTAGGCCTCAGGCCTTGCACCAGGCCCTGTGCTCCAGGCTCGCTCTCTCTACTATACCTAACTTCTGCCTACATCCCTATCTGCGCAACACAGCTCCCCTTGTATAGCACGACGCAATGTTAACACAAAGGCAGCAATCCCCAACCCCCTGGCTAGCAATGCACTGGGAACAACTACTGACTAGCAATGCACTGGGAACAACTACTCTTGAGAGAAATCAGGGTGGATAAAAATCTGATTTAAATAAAAAAAATCTGATTTTTTTTAAATCATTGATTTTTTTGATAAAATGCTTTTTGAGGAAAAAGCCTATCTAAAGATAGATACATTAAAGCTCAAAGATGATATCATGGAATAGGGATTATAAATTCTAATTTATATTGTCTCATACTATAGTTCATGTAATGTTTAAGAAAAGTTTTGTAAATGAGTTCCAATAGTTCATGGATTAGGGACCCAATTTTATGGGGTTCCAGGGGTTTCTGTATAGATTATTTAGGTTAATCTTTCTATCTACACAATGGGACTCAGTGCTCAGTCTAGAAGATACCATCAGAGATGCTTAGTTTTTCAGTTCTCAAACTGTGGATTTGTGTCTCCAGAGGTAACATGCTGGTTAACAGCAAAAATGTTTTTAAATAAATAAATAAATAAAATATAGAGGTGAGAAATAAGAGACCTCAACCCTATTGTCCCTCTGCAAATTTGTGTACACAGAGTCAATCCCTTGCCGCTCTCTAAAAGTGCAAAGTTTCAAAAAGTTCAATGAATAGAAGCTTGTTGGGGGCCGAATAGATCTGGACAAGGAGAATAAGTCTGGAGATAAATGTGAGACGGGAGGGACAGGCAGTAGAAACAAAAGTGAAACTGTTTAAGAAGCATATTCCAGAAGTCTTGAGGTCTTCCTGAGTGTAGCCTTCATTGATTTGAAATCTACCATACCATTCTCTCACTAGAAGGGAAACCCTATAATGGCAGCCAGCCGTAAAAGAGACACAGTTTGGGAATAAGAACCATTCAAGAAATATATGTTTGCTGATGTTTTTTTAAAGAAAGTCACACCAGCGAACAGGTGGAAGTCACTTAAGCACTTGGATTCAGACACTGTTGAAGTGATAGTCTCACTTTTAACAGCAGTAGCTTCTTCTGCCCGTGTAGAAAGAATATTTTCTTCCCTTGGACTAATTCATTCCAAATTGAGAAATTTTTTGGGACCTGAAAAAGCAGAAAAGCTTGTTTTTCTTTTCCAGATTATGAACAAACAGGAAAATGAAGGTGAAGACGACTGAATTAGCTGCAGAAGCCAATATTTTATGTTTCTCGTGTTGACCTGGCTGACATAGTCGATTTAATTTTTTTTTAAATATTTCATTTAATGATTTTAAACAACTTTAACAAAAACAAACCTGATTTTAAAAACTTGAATGTTTAACTAAATTCAAAAATTCATATGCTTGTTTTTTTAAAATATTATATGTTTCCTGTTGAAGAAAAAAAATCCAGAATACAGAACGTTGTTGTTTTAGTTAAATAAAACAATTTAAATGTCTGTCTGGTGATGTTCTCCTCCTAATACAGCATGGCAAGAAAATCCTCCAAATATTGATTAACCTGTTGAATTGGAGATAGTTCATCTCCCAATGACTTCATAAATATCTGCTTCAATTACCTTTGGTAAATGAAATAACCAAACAATAGTTTATTTTCTGATATAGCTGTAAAACTAATCTGAAAAGTTTTCAAATAAATCACTTTAAAAAATATATAGTGTGTACCTTCTAAAAATGAAACCTACATCTATCTCTGAGTTGTGAAGAATATGTATTAAGATTATAACAACCCACAAGAATGCACTTTTATGTAGAAATCCATGATTAAATCGAGTCTTCCTGACTAGTGATTTAAATCATGAGTTAAATCAATTTGATTTAAATCAAATCCACCCTCAGAGAAATTCAGAGCAGTGCCAGGCTGTGGTTCTGGGGTATCACTGAGGTGTCATTCCTGCAGATCCCTGGGAAATCTCCAAACATGACAGTATCATAATGGTAACAGTCAATACCACTCACCACCTTACTGCCACTGGCCAGCCGACTACACGGTTAAAATTGGTCCTCAGTGGTAAAGAAACAACATGCAATAAACTAGGCACAAGTCACAGGGATAACAGTAGGTACCCAGAACAGATCCACTGTGATTCCAGGCCACCACTCCTCTCTGATAATGCAGTGGTGTAATAGCAGAACTCTGGAAATGCAATGGGCTAAACCATTCACATATGCTTCATGGAGACCCTTCTGCACAACACACGCCCTGCTTCATCTAAGAGTTGCATGTGCATCTGTCTATGCTTCAGGAACCAAGACAGACATGCACAACCACGCTCTCCTTCTACACTCCCTGACCTATCAGCGGGCAGCTTCTGAGACAATCGCAGCCACTCAAACCCCACCAAAACCAAGTCAAGACACTGGCACAAGGTAGGCACTGGATGCCTCCATGCCAGCCAATACCCCAGCAAGAAAAAAAGAAACCTTATTTTAGGAGAGTCTTCCAACATCCAAGACAACACAGAGAAAGGCACGAAACCCACAGTGAGAACATGTGGAGTCAGAAAGAACATTAAAGAAGCTGGCTTACGAGAAACATCAATGCTTAGTGAAGAGCACAGAATCCATCAGGCAGCCATGCCCTCCAGCACCCCTTCTTGTCTCTTTAACCACGTGGCACACACAAGGAAACATACACCCTTTGCAACACTTACCCTGATTCTCCGCATTGCAGTCACAATCTCCACCCTGCTGTTTGGCCGAGGCACATCAAGGCTTCCAATGTACTAGAAAAAAGGGGAAAATAGGATTAGGACAGCTCCCATGTTCGAAAAATAGCACAGATGTGCAGGGAATTTTCCATCAAGCAGCTAAACCACCCCCCTGCCAATGCAGGAGCATTTCTCCTTATACATCACAGCATTTTGTCCAGTCTATTTTACGTGTCCTATACAATGACGCTTCTGTCACTTTCCCATGGAAACTATTCCACAGTCTAATCCATCTGTCAGGAAATTTTCCTTGATATTCATCCTAAATTTTCCATTTCTTAATCTCATCCCATTATTCCTATGCTGAGTCATCCTACCCCCCCCCTCCCATCTATTGGCCTGATGTTTTCATCTTTCGCACATCTGCAGATTATTCCTTCTCCCTGTCATGCGAGGCATTTCATCAAGCCACATATTTAACTGTCTTTATTCATAGGTTTTAAGGCCAGCAGGGACCATTAGAAGAACCTAGTCTGACCTCCTGCATAGCACAGGACGGAGACTCCACCCAATGATTCCTGCACCAAACCCATACCTTCCGGCAGATCTTTTGGAAAGACATTTCACCATAAGATCCCCATTGTGGAGAGCCCCCCATGTCCTTAGCTAAGTTGTTCCAATGGTTAATTACCCTTGCTGCTAAAAAAAGTGTGCCTTATTTTGATTCTGAATGTGCCAAGCATCAGCTTCCAGTCACTAGATCCTGTTATACTTTTGCCTGCTAGATTCAAGAGCCCTTTGCTCTCAGAAATGTCTTCCTCACATAGGTACTTATAGGAGATGATTAGTCATCCCTTAAAACTTCCCTTGCATAAACCAGATTTGACTTTTTAGTCTCTCAGTATAAGGCAGGTCTTTCAGACCTGAAATCGTTCTTGTAACTCTTTACTGAGCGCCTTCCAATTTTTTAACATTGTTTTTGAAGTGTGGACACCAGAATTGGACTCAGTATCCAATAATGATCTCATCAGTGCTGTATACAGCTCAATAGTCATCCACTTAGATATCCAAGCATTGCATAAGCTCTGTTAACCACAACATCCCACTGGGATCTCATGTTCAGCTGGTTTCCATCATGACCTCTAGGTCTCTCAGAGGTCCTGCTTTCCAGGATGTGGTCCTCTGTCCTGTAAGTGGCCTTTTATTTTCTGTTCCTAGATATCGTTCCTTGCAGGTGGCAGTATTAACACACATTACTTGATTGCATCCAGCTTATAAAGAGATCCGGACCACTCTAAAGCCGACCTGTTCTCAGTATTTACTACTTCATCAATCTGTGTCCTCTATAAACTTTATCTACAATCATTTTCTTCAAGATCATTGATCAAGATAGAGTAGCATTATGTCAAGAACAGTCCACTCCATCACCACATGGGATGAGGATTCCCCAAGTACAATTATGGTTTGATGAGCTCTTTCAGCCAGACAGCTTTTAATTCCTTTACTATGAGCCAATGTCATTTTGTATAGTGTTAATTTTTTAGTCTTCCTTTGGAGAAAGTTCTGAAGGAACTCAAATGTGAAATTGCCAGACTACTACTAACTGTGGTTTGTAACCTATCATTTAAATCAGCTTCTGTACCAGATGACTCGAGTACAGCTAATGTGATGCCAAATTTTTTACAAAAATGCTCCAGAGGTGATCCCGGCAATTACAGGCACTGCGATAAGCCTGACTTCAGTACCAGGTAAATGTTGAAACTATAGTAAAGAACAGAATTATTAGACACACAGATGAACATAATCTGTTGGGGAAGAGTCAACATGGCTTTTGTAAAGGGAAATCACGCCTCACCAATCTACTAGAATTCTTTGAGGGGGGGGATCAACAAGTATGTGGACAAGGGGGATCCAGAGGATAGAGCATACTTAGATTTTCAGAAAGCCTGTGACAAGATCCCTCACCAAAGGCTCTTAAGCAAAGTAAGCTGTCATGGAATAAGAGGAAAGGTCCTCTCATGGATCAGTAACTGGTTAAAAGATAGGGTAGGATTAAATGGTCAGTTTTCAGAACTGAGAGAGGTAAATAGCGGTATCCCCCAGAGGGATGAACTGAGACCAGTACTAGTCAACATATTCATAAATGATCTCGAAAAAGGGGTAAACAGTGAGGTGGCAAAATTTGCAGACGATACAAAACTACTCAAGATAGTGAAGTCAAAAGCAGACTGAAGAGTTACAAAGGGATCTCACAAAACTGGGTGACTGGACAACAAAATAGCAGATGAAATTCAATGTTGATAAACACAAAGTAATGCACATTAATCCCAATTATACATATAAAATGATGGGATCTAAATTAGCTGTTACCACTCAAGAAAGAGATCTTGGAGTCATTGTGGATAGTTCTCTGAAAACATCTGCTCAACGTGCAGTCAAAAAAACCTAACAAAATGCTGGGAATCATTAAGAAAGGGATAGATAAGAAAACAGAAAAAATAATATTGCCTCTATATAAATTCATGATACACCCACACCTTGAATACTGCATGCAGATCTGGTTACCACATCTCAAAAAAGATATACTGGAATTGGAAAAGGAACAGAAAAGGGCAACAAAAATGATTAGGGGTATGGAACACATTCCGTATGAAGAGATTAATAAGACTGGGACTTCCTGGTTTGGAAAAGAGGCGACTAGAGGGGGATCTGATAGAGGTCTATAAAATCATGAGTGGTGTGGAGAAAGTAAATAAGGAAGTGTTATTTACTCCTCACAACACAAGAACTAGGGGTCACCAAATGAAATTAATAGGCAGCAGGTTTAAAAACAAAAGGAAGTATTTTTTCACATAACGCAGTCAACCTGTGGAACTCTTTGTAAGAGAATGTTGTGAAGGCCTAGACTATAACAGAGTTCAAAAAAGAACTAGATAAGTTGATGGCTATTAGCCACGATGATCAGAGATGCAACCCCATGCTCTGGGTGCCCCTAAACCTCTGGCTGCCAGGGGATGGATCACTCAATGATTGCCTGTTCTGTTCATTCCCTTTGAAGCACTTGGGATTGGCCACTGTCAGAAGACAGGACACTGGGCTAGATGGACCATTGGTCTGACCCAGCATGGCCTGTGATGTTATTGACATGAACTGTGAGTGTATAGATCATTGTTGCAACCAGGGTCCTATGGTTGCACCAGATCTTGTACAGAGGAGGTCAAGCGGGGGCGTCTATGGAAAGGTTGTAGTTTGCTGGTTATGATTACGCTGTCTGTGTGTATCATTTTTGTATTTGAAGTTATGAATATTGGCTATGTACTTGTATCTCAATGTGTTTGATTCTCAATGAGTTTTTCTGGGAACGTTCAAACTAACATGTAAACAATGGCGTCAGTCTGCAAAAAGCTGAATGATTCATGGACATGTGACTTGCCCAGGTTGTTAAAACTCCATCTTGCTGCTGTGATTTTGCACAGGAGAACAAAGGGGTTTCTGCCCACAAGAGAAAGAATATAAAAGGCCCTGGAAACCTCTCCATTTTGTCTTCAGCTGGCTCAAGAGATGGCCTCTTCACCCCCAAGAGATGCCTGAAAGAAACTGGAACAAAGGACAGTAACTACAGGGGTGTGAGTGATTGCTGGACCCAGACTAGGAAGAAGTACAATCTGTGAAAGAAGCTTATTGGGACATCTCTGAGGGTGAGATTCACCTGCATTCAGTTTCTTACTGTATCAGGCATAGATTTACGTGTTTCGTTTTATTTTGCTAGATAACTTACTTTGTTCTGTCTGTTATTACTTGGAACCACTTAAATCCTACTTTTGATAATTAATAAAATCACTTTTTGCTTATTAATTAACCCAGAGTAAGTAATCAATACCTGGGGGAGCAAACAGCTGTGCTCCTCTCTCTATCAGTGTTATAGAGGGTGGACAATTTATGAGTTTACCCTGTATAAGCTTTATACAGAGTAAAATGGATGTATTTGGGGTTTGGACCCCATTGGGAACTGGGTATCTGGGTGCTGGAGACAGGAGTACCTGCTAAGTGGTTTTCAGTTGAAGCCTGCAGCTTTCGGGGATGTGGTTCAGACCTGAGTCTGTGTTCACAGCAGGCTAGTGTGTCTGGCTCAACAAGACAGTGGTCTGGAGGTCCAAACTGGCAAAGAAAACGGGCTCAGAAGCAGTCTCAGCACATCCCAAAGTGGGGTCTCTGTGACCCAACCTGTCACATGGCCGTTCTTATGAACATTTCTATTGCTCTTCTATGAATTCCTTACTGTTTGTTGAGGAACACTAAGTGTGATACTCCAGGAATGACCAGAGCTGTATAAAGAATGACTAGAAACTCTCCCCTCAGTAGCATGATCCCCATCTATCTATTGTGACAGGGTCAGGCCAGAGGGCTACAGGAGAGTGATCCTTTTGCATACCGGGACGTGGGCGAGTGCTAGCTAGCCCACTGCTGAAAGCCCCTCCTCCCGCCTAAGGAGGGGCTACTAAACCCGGAACCCAACTGAGTTCGGGGGACAACAAAGGCAATAACAGGAACAGGCGTGGGGGTCAAAGGGCCAAAACTAAGGAACCGGAAGGGAACACCGAGCAGAGAACCCCAGACAGTGCCCACTGCTCCTCGAAAACATCAAGAGAGCCGGTGGATGCTGCCCAGAGGAACTGTGCCCGGATACGTGAACGGATGAAAGAACGAAAAACGGCCCCAGTCGCAGGCCCCCCCTCTGCCAAACTCATCTCCCTGGTGTTACGAATGGCCACCTAGGCCATGGCTAGAAGGAGGTTGACGAGGTGGTCCCACGACTTCGTGAGGCCTCGGATCGGGTGTGCATAAAGAAATAAGTGCGGGGAAAAGTGCAGCCAGAACCTCAATAAGAGGTTCTGGAGGAGCTGGAAGAGGGGCTGCAGCCTGGCGCACTGAAGGTATGCGTGCGCCAGGGTCTCCTTCACGCCACAGAAGGGACAGGCTTCAGGCACAGTGGTAAACCGCGCCAAGTACACGCCTGTGCTCACAGCTCCAAGCAGGAGCCGCCAGCTGATATCCCCGGCTGGCCGCGGGA